GAAAATAATAACACCTATTAAAATTTTAATATATTAAAACAATGCTATTAAAAAGCAAAATTATTAAAAATGCAAAACGGATACATTATAATTTTCATGAAATATTTCAATTCGACGAAAAATTTTTTTTTATTGCATTAATTATGATCGCCACTGTATTATATTAGTTATTATATCATATAATTATAATTTACTTTCTTACATTCATACTATATTAATCAAAAAAGATTATTTATTAAATATAAATAATTTATCAGAATAAAAATCATAAAATATATATATTTTTTATATATATACAAAATAATAATTAGTATTGATTTAATTGAGATAAAAAAAGAAAAAATATCTATTTATATATATTAACTTGATAAGATATCTAATAAATTCTCAAAATAAATGAAAGATAATAAATATTTATCAAATTATCTATTTAGATTATTAATAAATAAAAATTTAAATAGTAAAAAAACAAATATGGTTATTAATCTTATACTAAGTAATAAATTATAATAAATATTTAAAAGTAAAAAAGGTAAATAATATATTAGAAATGATAATCTTATATTAATTGGTAAATATTCTAAACTGAAATGAGAATTAGTAAAAAATATATTTCAGATCTTTGCAAATGTTCTAAAATCATATTAGAAGAATATTATATTTAAAATAATAATATTAGATAAGATTTCAGATATAACTAAATTTTTTTTGAAATAAAGTATAATTATCATATTTGAGAATCTATATACCAAATCAAAGAAAATGCAAAATGAATTATTTCTTATTTTATTAGTAACTAGTATTAAAATATTTTATTTATATATTTAAGTCAGAAATATATATAAACTTTTAAAATTATTTGTGAAAATTTAAGTTATCTTGCACTATTTAGAAAGGTAAGAAGCTAAGATAATATTTATAAAATTATGTGATATATATGAATAATTTGAAAAAAGTATCCAAGATAATTAATAAGTATTTGTGAGATTAAAATTTCATGATTTTTAATTTTATTAAGTCAATAGATAATATTTTAGCAATTAGATTAGGATGCAATACTTTTCTTGATTTTTCTATCTAATCAAAGTAAGATTTTAGAGATATAAGAAAATTTTCTGTCTCTTGCAATTTTATCTTTTTTTCTTTAATTTTACATTATAATTTTTTATTAGCTTTAACTTATTTCTTATATTTTATAGTAATTTCTCTCATAAATTTGTTAAAAATTTTTTCATTATATTCTAGTAATTGCTAAAATAAAATATTAATCTCTTTCTTAATCTAGTGATTAATCTTTTTTTCATGATTACATATATAAATTTGAATTTAGAATTCTTGATTAATCATTTTTATATTATATATACATGATAAATTTTTAAGTAATTCTATAATTTGAATTTATTTTTTATACTTTTAATTTAATTTTTTTTATATATCTCTAATATATAATATAAATAAGTCTCAATTTAATTATATTTTTCAGAAATTTACTCTGCTATAACAGAAGATCTAGAGTAATATAAAAGTTTATAATATACTTTCTTAATCAGATTTTTTAGAAGTTTTACTATAATAAGATTATAATTAGAATAAAATATTAACTATTAATTTGCATGCAAAAAGATTACATGCAAAAATTATATAAATAAAAATTAATAAAAAAATAGCTATTAATTATCATAAAATAGTAGTAAATAAAAATTTAAAATACTAATTCTTAGAGATATTTCAGATAATTTTATTTTAAAGATATATATATGAATAAATTATATAATTAATAAATAAATATGTTTTAATAAATTAAGTTATACATTATTAATTTGATATATTTCTTCTTAAATTATTCATAATAATTTGTAATATCAAATAAGTTCTTTAATTTTGAAACTATTAGACTTATATAATCTCAATCTATTTTCTTTATATAATTATATATGCCTAATTTTTCTTTGTTATTTCTTGAATATATTTAACTTTATTGATAAGATTTTTTATTCATAATTTATATTAATAAATAGCTAACTTTGTAAAGATATTATATTCAACTTCTGATTTTTATTTAAGTTTCATATATTCTTTAAAACTAATATCACAATATTTATTTCCAGTATAATTTATATGTTAATATTCTCTCATCTTATAATTAAAATATAATTTATATCTTACTTTTTTATTAATATAAACAAACTGATCATGGCTATAATATATAATAATATTCATTTTAATATAAAATCTATTATTATATTCTTTTAAAAATTCATACTTTCTTGTAATAAGATATCACTTCTTATCATTATCTAGATAATTATTATTTCTATAATATATTAACTGATTTCAGATTTATTTCTTTCATTCAGATAGAGTTTCTTTATCAAGTATTACTAGAAATTGATAATTATCTTTCTATTTAGTATCACTCAAAACTAAATATTTATCTATATAGATTATATTTAATAATTAAGTGATTTAATATATTATAATTTTAGAAATTATGTAATTTATAAACCTATTAAATTTGGATTGATATTGATACTTAAAATCAGATTTATTTTTGTGTAGAATTTGAATAGAAATTTATTTATATAAAACTTAGCTAATTCTTAATATAATTAAAAATAATCTTAAATGATACTTGTAATATTATCAGAGCTTGTGATGATTTAAAATATCATTAAGATATAAATATTCTAAAGATCATGAAGAAAATACTTCATTCAATAGAATAAAATATAAGAATACTTGATATTTCATTTGTACAGGTCAGCATCATTTTTATCTTGAAATTACTAAAAAGTTTGCTATAAATAGAGATGAATTATGTCTTTTTATTCAATATACAACTATCAAAGAATTATTAGAGTAAAGATGTTCTAAAGACTATGAATGATCAGTAACTTATAATAATATTATACATGATAAAAATTGATGTATAAAATATTCATATAGAAAGCCTTGTACTCTTGAAGATACTATAAAAGTTGCATATAAAAAAAATGGAGAATGTCTTTCTGATAAAATTATCAATGATAAGTCATCATTATTATGGCATTGTGACAAAGATCATGAATGGAATACTTGTTTTACTAATATAATATATAAAAATAGCTGGTATTCATATTGTGTGAGAGGTAGATCTTGATATACTCTTGAAGATGCTAGAAAAATTATGCATGATAGAAATGGATAATGTCTCTGAAAAATTTATCAATGATAATTTATCATTATTATGACGTTGTGACAAAGATCATGAATGAAATGCCTGGTTCTTTGTTGTAAAACATAAAAACACATGGCGCCTTCTATATCTTGTCTTAATTTAGCATTCTCGTTTCTAAGTTCAGTATTCTTAGCCAAAAGTCTGGCGTTCTCTTGTTTCAATAGATCTAGTTCGGATTTGGTTTTTCCTATTGTTTTATATAAGATACGGAATTATTTAAATTTTGAAAAAAATCATGTGACATCCTGACCAATGGTCAGGAACTTGCAGATCACTTTTGCCAAGAAAAATATATAACAGTATCACATACATGTTAAAGATAAACATGATGTAAGTGCCATTTATTAATATTCGTATAGCATTAATAAATTAATACACAATTAATCAAAGAATAAAAATTTCAAATCTCATATATAACAATAAAATATTATACTATGTTTCTGAAAAGCTGTCCTGTGATTTCCTCAAAGGTGACATGTGCTACATCAGGGAATTCACGAACTTTTCTCGAGTGATTGGGAATTCCAGGACTACCTCGAATATAGACAATACGAAATCCAGACACGCGTGTGCCATTTCTGGTAACAACAAACCTATTTTGTGGATCTATTATAGCAGAATGACCAGGACCATACATCTCATCCAAATACATCTCGATCTGGTTTCTTCCATTAATTTGCGTTTGAGAGATACCAGCTTGTGCAGACATTGTTTCAAATGCTTTCCTGATGTTCGTTGATGGTTTGCTGTTGTGTGTTACGAAGTCACTGACAGATACCTGTATGAATATAGGTCCGAGCATGTAATCGAATCGGGGATATCTGTCAAAGCCGCGACTTAAGACTCTATCAAAACCAGGTCCAAGGGATAAGCCAGAAGACTTGATTACAGCATAGTCATCAAACTGGAGCGTAACAACGCTTCTATTATTATTATTGAGATCCGTTGTATTGAGTTGTATTGTTGTGTTAGATTTGCACACAAGTCGATTGAATAAGGCTTCCTCAAATTGATCTCCATCCAGATTTCCTATATTGAGTTGATTTTTTATATTTTCAGGTAAGTCAAATGACATATATACTTTTAATAGAGCTTTCCGAGCAGATGGGCATAGAGGGAAGTAATGAACACTCATGTGCTCCGGCCCCATGTACCGATAAATCAACCCAAGATCCAAGAATTTCCACTCAAACTGCACAATTGATTTACTGGGAAGAAACATGCTTGTAAGAGAATCATAATAACGAATTTTTTCATTTTTCTGGAGACTATTATAATATCTTTGAGCAATAACCAAAATCCGGTCAACCCGTTCCTTCTCAAATTGTTTTAGTACTTCTTGAAAGTCGTTTACATCGGTAGTATTGGGATCGAGATTCCAAATATACTTAACTAGGTACATAAGTTCACGTGGCACACAATTTGTAACCTTTATTGCTTCTTCTTTAATGCCTGGTTTACTCAGAAGGGGGTGCATCTGTAACAACATATCAAATATATCATCCTCTAGTGGAGCGACATAGATTACCCACCATTGGCTCATACCATTTTTCATGTATATCATCTCAAATTTAGCATGTGCAGTTCCCGTGAAGATTACACGTACACCTTTGTAATGTTCACCCCAAAAAGTAAGGTTCATCAGAGGTCCCAAAATATGAAGTCTTTCAGGTACTGGATCCTTTTCAAATAATACACCATGCTCATCAATAATTAAGAGAGTTTTTCGATCTACTTGTTTGAGTAGATCTCCTAGAATTCTTCCCGCAACATTACTAAAAGAACAATCAACATTTTCATTTTCCATAAGCAGTTCAAACTCGGCGCTAGTCAAAATATCCTTATTAAGAGCCAGGAAGTACTTGCAAATCACCTTTCCTGCTTCCTCTGATGTGTTTGAACATAGCTCAGATGCATCCGCGATGTAGAGCATCAGCCATCCTTCCGCATAAGCTTTAGCTGCAAGGAAATAGGTAATATATGATTTACCCACACCAATTGGTCCTGAAAGAACACGCTTGATTGAACGGTCACTATCTGCTGAAAGCTCGTCCCATATGTCAATCATCTGCTTAGTAACAAGCAATACCTTTCCTTGATAACCTTCAGCGAAGTATTTAGGTTTCTGGCCAAGATGTGGCAGGGTAATTGATTGGCGAGCGCTAAGGTTCTGGAAGGCATTTTGGAAATCGATGCGTTTATCAGGTACGAATTTGTCACTTTCAAGCATGTCAATTATTTGGGATGGCAATTCTATGGAGTGACCATCAGAGGCGGTGTATGACTTCCAACCCTGTTCTATTCGACGTTTCTTTATAGGATACTCTACAAAGCGTAGTAGGAAGGAAAGAAGTATAAATCAATATTTGATAAATATATTACAACGCAAACATAACAGCTATCAAAAAGGTATCGCGTTCACTCGCGTTGACTAATTTATTACGATTCACTTACCAGCAACGGGAACTTCGACAACAACTCGAATATTACTTCCTCCAACGTTATTAAATGTGTCTCCAACCGTATCAGTTGGTTCTTCTAATTTGTCGTTTAAATAAGTCTCAATAGGAGTGTCCTTATTCCTAAGTATACTCGAAGTAACGTTGACCCTCCACAGAATTAGTTCGTCGGGATCAACATTAGCAAAATAAATTGGTTTCTCCTCCTTGATAACTTTTCTAAGGTCGATAAGATCGTTAGCCTCTCCAATAGTAATTTTGAAAACGGAACGATTTTCACGAACGATACACCAAATATTAAAATGCGTTCCAGCATTAGACATTTTTGTATTACAACGGAATATTTTTCGCAATTTGTTATATATAAGGGTCGTACAGATTGATAATTGATCAGTTTGATCAGTTACGTCTTTTTTTCGCAGATATATTTCGAAGTCACATGATTCTGATGGTAACGGTTTTTTGCAAATGGACGAAACTTTATTGATGGTTTTAACTAATCAGAAAATGCTAGAGAAGCAAATGAAATGTATGATGCTATCAAAGATGGAGGGAGTACGCGGATCCTAGGCCATTTAATGCGAGTCCCAGCATCAAGTTATTTCTTTGCTCTTTCAGATTTCTTGTAAAATTCTATACTATTTTTTTTGTACTTTGTTCTTCGATCCTAATCCTTACCTTTATCCTGATCTTATAAATCATGCACGTTGAAAATTTAGATGGGCTTTTAGCCCTTATTTAGAATCCTAGCGGTGGCGCAGTATCTAAGCCGTTTGCAACATATTAAAAAAGATGGTGCAACATGAGATTAAGCTTTTAATTCGAGACTTTTTCAACAATGTTCATATTAAGTGTGTTCAAAGATACCGTAAAGATTGAGCCACAGAATTTCCGTAAGAATAAATATGATGCTATTACTGACGAACTAAACCAAAAATATGCCAATAAGGTGAACATACGCACCTGCAAAGTTCAAAACACGTATTTTAATTAAAAATGAAATAGATTTTATATAGTAAGGTGGAATTCTCGCTTTCATTATTTAAGGTTGTACAGGATATAGGTCTTTGCATATGTCTACACGATATTCTTGAAGCAGGCGAAGAATTCGTCCATCCTGGGATTGGCAACGGAGCTAGCTTTGTTAAGGGTCATTTTTCTATACTCTGCTATTAAATCATTTGTTCTATCATCAATCACGATGAATTAATTTTTATTTTTTCCAATAGTAAAATTTCGATTGATCGTGTTTCGTCCTTTTATTGGCGAAGTACTTGTCGGAAAAATCAAATGCTGTCTACCAACCGAAATAAAAGGTATTTTTAAATTTTACGATCAATTTCAAGAAATCGTTTTCTAATCAATGAACTTTATAAAGTTACAATGGGATTTTTCGATGATATTAAAATACCACGAGCACTTTTGAGGGAACTCACATCCTTGTAGGTACTAAAAAACAAGATTTATGCATTTATTCAAAATAACAGTGTTATTTATAATTTATATATTTAAAAAAGTCAGCCTTCAGAACAAGCATATTTATGGAAAGGACACGGCCACGAATACTGGTTAGACAATCAAGACGTGATAAAATTTCGTGTTGTTGGCGAGATATTTACAGATACCGCGCCAAAGCAGCCACCAGGTGCGCCTAGAACAGTGGCTGGAACTGGAAGTGGTGGTGTTGGTGTCGGTGGACCAATAACTGACACAAATCCATCAATTATTATTGGTGGAAACTCGTCACGTACCCCGCCATATTCAATTATTGGCTCAATACAAGAAGATGGTCTTGGATTGCCTGAATGGTGGTCTAATATTCAATAATATTCTATTACTGTTATTGTTATCCAAATAATAAAACCCAGATAGTGTAAATATTTTTGAGTTCGTCACGGTTATGCGGAATGTCATCTATTGGAGCACTATGGAATCTCGTCTTAAAGTTTGCGAGCCATTCTTTGATCCTCCGAAATTATTGATATATTGCTCGACGGATTGAAAAGGTTTGCGTTGAATAATGACACCTGTAAGAGTCCGGTGTGCTTCAGATCTCGCTTAGTTTTTGTTTGCGTTGAATTAGGATTAATTAAAAGTTAGTACGTTTCTTGTTCAAGTATCTTTGAGACTGTTGACTCGTCGAGTCCAAACTGCCATAAACGACAAATTTCAGGTTTTGGACTCTGTCAGTGTGGTTCTCTTGGTCTTTTCTGAAGCTCAAGCAGGATCCAACAAACCTACCAACTGACGATCTACCAACCGGTGACTCGCCAGTTTCTTTCAGCGTAAGAGAAGAATGTCATAATAAGGAAAGGATGAAAAAGGGACGAAGAAAGAGAGGAGAAAAAGGGGAAAGCAAGAAAAAACACTTCTTCATCTTATGACCAATTTAAGGGAGTGACAGATATTAGCTAACATTCCAGGGTGAAATGTCAAAATCTCAAAACTCGTTAAACCGAAGTGGTCGGTGCGGTTACCGTGAAACGCACAGTACCCCTTCTCTGTAAAAAAATCTAAACCTTATTTATAATCCATAGAACTAGTTACCGTAAACTCTCGAATTTAAGCAACCCCCTACGTCATCATTTTTTGATCGATTTTTTGTGGGGGTTGCTTAAATTCGAGAGTCCTTGTGCGTAACATCAAATTATGCATCGCAACGTTACGCAGATCGAATTGATTAACGTGAAAAATTTCAAATATCCCTGTCTCCCAAATCCAAACTTTCATACTGCAAATTTTGTATTAATCTATTATATAATAGTTTTTGATAAAGGGGTTGCTTATTTAACTTTTTTAAGACATTTGAACTTGAAAGGGGGGGGGGGTTGCTTATTCTCGAGGGTTGCTTAAATTCGAGAGTTTACGGTATCTGTTTCGCAAATAAATAATTTAAAATCACAATGCAATTTCTTAAAAATTAAGAATCAAATAAGGTTTATATCGAGAGACACATTAGCTAATATCTGTAATCCCTTATAGGCCAACTTTATTATTTAGCGAGTTTCCTACATTACTCTCCCAATCTGTCTTTTTTTTACTAGTCTCAAGGGGGTAAATTAGGGAGATTTCTCAAAATTTCTGATTTTCGAAATAAATTCTCTTGTATTATATTTATACAGGTATAAAAATAAAAAAAAACTATAGTCAAAACCCGAGTAACTTTTTATTTTAAACTGTGCAATGCATGTACATGAATTCTGCGGGGATATGCGAATGAGCTAATTTATTCCAAATGCAAAGTTCTTTTTTATTCAGCACAAAAATGCATGTTTTAATAAAAATGAAAATATATGTACAAAATAATTCTGTTACTTTGAGAATGGTTTAAGAATAAACATATTTCTAAAAATTATACATCTATACTACAATAATATATGTGTGTGTGTACACATATGTCATATTATCAGTTAATTATGTTATGAAGTTGTTATAATTAATGAGTTCCAATACATGCATCATATGTTGGAGGTAGGGAATCATAAACAGGGGCTGGTATTAAAGCAGTGATACTACGATAAGTCGGTAATTTCATAAGTTCCAGATCATCAAACTCTGGAAATTTATGTTCTGTTGATGATCCGGAGGATCCCGACAAGGTCGATGAATTATCAGAGGAAGAAAGTATATCTCTTGAAATAGGTGGAAGTATAGAATTGCAATCACGCATTTCTGCGCCAAGATAATGTTCATCATAAGCAGGCAAAAACATTGCGTCGCCATTTATCGGTGTAATAATAATTGACATTGACGCGCGTAATTCCGAAAGATGCTTTGTTTCCTCGTTAATAAATTGTATTGTGAATTTCAATTTATGCCTCACGCGAATAATTTCATTCTGCGTATCGTACTGGCAAAAAGGACTCGACGTCGGAATTTGTAACAGTTCAGTGGTGGTCCACAAGTCACCCTTGCTCGGAAATTTATCATCACGTCCTATTCGAATTATTCGATTTGACTTTTTTGTATGCTGACCAACATGATACGTTGTATACTCTTTGAGTGAACACGTGAATTTTTTCACCGCCAAATGTTTTTGTAACGGTTTCAGTGTTATATCGATAGGAATTTTTTCGCCAAACGTATATGCGCGTGACGCGACTACAATCTCGTATTCGACTTTATCGCTCCATGTGTTTGCAATTACAAGGCTCTGGGTGCAATCAAGCGAGGTGGGTAATGGGCATCGTAAGATATGCACAGCACGTTGTGTGTTGAGGTTAAGCGCGAATTTGTGTCGTTCTGCAACCGCTTTCAATTTGTAATGTACGTATCCATTTTCACATCCTTCCACGGTTTCTGGTAAAATACCCGGCAGAATTAGTTCGAAGTCCCAGCAATAATTTTTTGGACTTAGAATGTGATAATTCTTTTTTGCGGGAAGAAAAGTCCATTCGTGTTGATAGAATATACGTTCTTCAGAGTGATATGATTGGCCCGCACCAACGCCTAATCGAGAAATAGTAATCGATATGCACATTATTATTTGAATTCATACTATATTAACTTTAGACAATGATTAAAAGACAATAATTACCATCAATCCAATTGACTTTGGATTTTCCTCGAAAAATCATTCGAATTTCACGAACCTTTATGGGTTCGTTTAGCGCAAGAACTAGTTGACCTCTTAGTACGCAGCCGACAGATTCTGAGGGTGACCCGCGCATGGTCAGCGTGTCTTGTTCGAGACGTATTTGAAATAATGAACTTGGATTGATTTTTAATGGTGAAATACTATGAACCATTTTTTTCTTATTTTATTTATCAGAGAATTGTTCTTTCTTGTCGTTGCAAATAACACGTATAATATGTAAATATTGCTCTTGTGAATTCGTTAATTAATCAATAAAATTTTAATTTAATGATATAATACTAGAAGCAATAATGGATTTTTTTTTCTCAGGACAGAATTCGCAATTTATATATCATAATGTGTGAGAAAACGGTATGTAGGAGTAGAATCAACTATACGTTTAATGTGTGACTATATATATACCAAATAATAATAATATCATTATTACATTACTATAAATAAATAAATTTAACCCCACAACAACAATAACAATTATAACCCATTGATGTCATTTTGCAGTATATATTAATACAATACAGTATATATTCGTATAAATGTATAAGTAACCAATAAGTAACCAATATAAATGTATAAATACATGTACACCATTCAATTAACATTTGTTTCTCAATTCGGTGTCATTATTCGGTAAAGAGGGTTTTTTTCGTGTATATGAGGTATTGTCAAACGCCACAGGCCGCAATAATCAGCATGTTTCACTTTAATCGATTGATTTTTTAACCTAAAAGGAATTTAATTTAGATAAATGGTGTAAATATTTCGTGTCATGTGTTAATGATATACGTTACACGTTAAGTGGTTCGATCTTTTTTTGCAAGTCATAAGAAAAATCCAGAAACTTGTATTACTGAATTGGAAGTTCGAAGAAAATTGCAGGAAAACTTTTATAAATGAGAAAAATGAGAAGGAATGAAAGAAAGAGAAAGATCTTATTTTTTTGACATCTATATGTTCATTCCATTTCATTCTCCTCTTTTTCTAAGGAGTAAAAAGTTTTGAAACGGTTGTGTAAATAAAAAATTAAAAAATAAAGAAGATTCATTATTGTGGGAAAATTTGATCATTCACCAATTAAATTAGGAGGCATAAACTTGTCTAACAAAAAATTTTGTGAATATGAATCATATCATGGTAACAACATCAAAGAAAATGGTGTACAAATGACGATCAGAACTTCGTTCGAATGGAGTACATTTAGTATTTGAGCATTTTATGGTTGATAGAGAATATAGTATAATACATGTCATTTGTTACAAGGGACCTTAGCTTATAAATCTTATAAATCCCATTAAAGGTTTAGACCTCGAGATTTTAATTTGTTATAAGTCATTATAATAGCCTCCACCGCCAAATCAGGAAATCACCAGGTTGCATTAGTCTGTTGTTAACATGACTCATGACTTCATCACGATGTATGTTTTTTAAATAAGAAAGTGTCAAGCTATGCGTTTATCCACGTGACAATAGATATGACAGGTTTGCGTGAGGGAAAATATTAAAGTTTTTCAAACATAGCTGTATACTACCAATAATGATTTGAATTTTAATTTGTTATACACCTTCACCATTTCCTTCTTGTTTCACCCATTCTAAATATTCAGAATGCAATTTTTTCTGTGCTTCCCATTCCTTTTTTAACTTTTTAACCCTATTTTTCGGAAGTTCTTGTCCTTGAGCATCGTGTGTTGGGATACCCTGATGGTCGCGATAATAATAATTATCGATTAGCTAATCACGAATTACAATATACAATTGAACAATTAACGATTAGACTTACCTGCTCATCAAATAGTGAATATATAATCTCGTTATTCTCTCCTCGTGCCGATTTGTACATTTCTTCGGCTGGAATTTTGCCTTTTTCCAATTTAGCTTTTCTCTCCTCTTCTTTGGCTTTTGCGGCTGCTTCTTTGCGAGCTACCTTTTCCAACTGAGCTTGTATTTTTGCCTCTCTCGCTTTTATTAGTTCTTCTTTGTCGACAAGTTTTACTAGTGCCTTGCCGTCCTCACGATCATCCAACGATACTCCTAGTTCGACTAGGTCAGTATCCCTCAATTTATCACTAAGATTTAAGAATTCCGAGTGAGCGCGTTCTTGACGCGCTAATTCTCGAACATTGTCTCTGAACGAGGAAAGGACTCGAAGATATGGCATGACGATATCTTCAGTCTGGAAAAGATAAAAAAAATCTTAGCATGTTGTCATAGTCTATATGCATCTGAAGGATCTAACAATAAAATTAAAACATACATTAGCAACGACTTGTTGCTCCGTGACTCCAAACCCGATAGCTTCGTCAGTGGTGTTCTCGCATAACCCAAATACTCGCAAAATTTTTGTTGCATATTTTGCGATTTTTTCAATCACATGAATATTTGTATAACCGCGTTTGGAGGATAAGTAAATATTGGTCTTGCTCACAAGGTCCATTATCTCTGCCAGTGCTGTTGGAGTGTTTATCGAGTCACAAAGAGCGTTGTGAACTGCTTCCTGTTTTTCTTGAAGACTTTTTTATCGAGATTTTAATAGTTTAGAGAAATTTCGGTAAACAGTTTAGTAGCGAATATAACTCACGTTTTGATCATTTTTCGTTCAATGTCTTTATAATGATGAACGCCATCAGACTTGAAAGCCGTGTGCTTATTTTCATTGATAAGTGCTTTAACATTTACAAAGAAATTCTAAATTAAGACAAAACCACTTAGACATTAATTAGTAAATGAAAGATGGACGAAAAAAAAATTTTTACGATAGAAATAGTCCATACATTTAATATTGTCTCAATGTTTTTGGCTTCAATCAAACTCGATTCTTTGAGTTCAAATTTCGAATTCCATTGATGAAGCAAAAAGCACAATCGTAATTGACGAGATGTATATTTTTCGAGAGCTTGCTACAAAAAAAAATAAATACATCACAAATAATACAAACTTTCAAACTATGTTGCTAATTATTAGCGTTACCTTAATTGTAATAAAATTTTTCAATGATTTGCTCATTTTTTGGCCTTCTACTTCTAGATGACCAACATGAACAAAATAGTTAACCCATTGAGGACATCCATGATATGCCTAAATTTAAGTGATCCGATTAGTTCAGTCCTAGAAAAAATTTTTTATTGGACACATCTTTATATGCATGATGATACCTCAGATTGGGCTAATTCATTATCGTGATGCGGAAAAGCTAAGTCAATGCCTCCAGAATGAATATCCATATTTTCACCAAGAATTTCACTATAAAATAGGTCAAGAATTATGGTTAACAGAATATCTTTCAACTTATATATAATAAAATTAATAAGGCAAAAAAGTTTACCTTGCCATCACAGAGCATTCAATATGCCAACCTGGTCGCCCCTATAAAAAGAATTATTTCCAATAAAAAAAATCATTGAAGAATTTATAACAAAACTAGAATTTATAACAATACTAAGTACAACTACCCACCGGTCCCCAAGGGGAATTCCAGGCTGGTTCGCCAGGTTTACTCTTTTTCCAAAGAGCAAAATCGTTATTGGTCTTTTTCCCAGTTAATTTACTACCCAAGGTACCTTCCCCTTCATCAATTAAACCTATATTACCGGCTGACCAAGGTTCTAGCTTTGCATAATGATGGCCTTTGTGACCGTCAAATGCAACCGTATCAAAATAAACGGATCCGCCAATTTCGTAAGCATAGCCATGGTCCACTATCTTTTGTACATATTCGACGATTTCCGGAACGTATTCGCTAACACGCGTTAGAATATCACAAGGGCGGACCTTGATAATTGAGAATACGTATGATAAATATAAGTAATATTCCAAAAATACAACACGCCTAATAGAAATTTATTACATTCAGAGCAGCCATATCCTCCATGAAATCTTGTTCCCAATAAGCTGCGAGTTCTCGAAAGATTTTCGGATCGGATACAGTTGAACCTTTCTGAAATATCATCAAAATCAACTTATGTATTATGAGATAAAAAGTAAAGATTATCGGGTCCCTACCTCTTCATCTAGCATAGATGACACAACGAACTGCGTGGAATTCAACAACTTGTGAGCCGTTTCTCTACTAACGTCATTATCTTCAAGCGCTACTTCTGCATCCACAATTGCCTCCATAGAATCTCTCTGAATAACCCAAATAATGATAACCAACGCTTTGTTCATAAGAATATTCAATCATTGCTTGTTTTTCATTTCACTTTTCTAAAGAATAAGAAACCTACAAACGCATTAGCATACATGAGATACTTTGGATCTCCTTCCGACGCAGCCGACGCAGCCATAGCACCACGGATATTACCATCAGCCACGCCAAGTTTAGTACGCGCGTGATTTTTTAATGCAAGTTGAACTTTGTCAATGAGATCGCGAGTCAATGCATTTGTTTCGGATTTGAGTTGATTAAACAAGTGGTTTTGACGTGCACGTAATATTATCTGGATTATATTAGTTTTGAGATTTCTGATTAACTGAAAAACTTTTTCTGGGAGATAATGAAATGGGTGCTTCTTACTTTATCATCAATATCAGTTATATTCATGACAAAAAGTACGTCGTAATTAAAATAATCATTCAATATTCTTCTTAGATAATCGATAGTCACGTAATTTCTGTTCAAAGAAATTAGAAAATAGATTATCATTATTCATGATAATTATGACGCGATGCAAATATTATGTTACCTTGCATGACCAACGTGCGCCGCGTCGTAAACAGTTGGACCACAACTATACCAGGTGACTTGTTTCCCTTTTATCGGAATGAAATCAACCTGCAAATTATAGAAATATATAATTTCGTATAACGAATGCACTATAACTGCGCATATTCGCCAAAAAGGTACCTTGCTTCTCGTAAGCGTATTATAAATTTTAAGAGTGGGTGGAGGGTTCACAGTCACAGGGTTGTGCCACTCTGGTTGCTGCTGTTTGGTAGCCATATTTCGACAAGGTTTTCTTTGAGCGTGTAGTAATATTTTCGACAGGTGACGTCGGAGAGTTAAAGAGACACTAAACATGCATTTATTTTTTGACAATGGTGATAATCGATCTATGATATCATTGTAATTAATATTGTAGTTTGATTGGATAGAATACTAACGCGAATGTCAGTCCTATTGGTATAACGATAAAAGATATACCGTAAATATATTCTAAAGAAATAAAACTCTTGTCTGATCTTTTATAATTATTGGAAATATTAAGTTAATGTTATCATGAATTTTATCATTCAACTATCAAATTACTTGTTAAAAATTTAATGTTATCTTTATCATTGTTACACAGTCGCTCTCGTTATAGTGATTTATCTTTTAGAAAAAGAGATCTTCACATTAACTAGATCTTGAATTAGAATCAGTTGCTACCAAATTTAAACATAATTGAAAAAGCACTTTTTCTAATGATAGTTTGAGTTAACCAAGCCATTGTCCAAGAGCTTACTCTTTAAGAATATATAGTTCAAGAAAAAGTAAAATGATTTGCTAAAAGACTTGGTGTTGAAAATTTTATTATCTTTAATGAATGACTTGTAAATTTAAAAAATAAAATAATCTTAGTTCATACAAGTAAAAAAAAGAATTAGCAGGTGCTTTAATTGAAGAAATTTCATGATTTTAAATATAATTACAAGAGATTCTTCATGAATATTCTTCAGAAGATATTTTTAACTGTGATAAAATAAGTTTTTTTGAAATTCAAGTCAAGTCAAATTCTTATTCATAAATTCATAACTAGAAATAAAAAGTCTAAAAATTATATTAATATTATAGTAATATGTAATTTAACTAGAAAAAATTATCTTTGTTATTTATAAATTTAAAACTTTATTATTTTTTAAGAAATTAATAAAAAATACTCTTTTAGTTTAATATTATTAAAATAATAAGACTTAAATATAAAGATTAATTTTTATATATTATCTTGACTAATTTAATATTAAAATATATAGAGTCAACTGACATATTTTTCTTTTAATAGTGTTACCTTTTTGGTGCGAGTTCTGAGGTGAGGGCGAGTATTAAACCTAATATTACAAAAACACGTGATAAAAGCGACC